CCCGGCTATTTTTTGGTTGCAGCCATCATTGTTGTTTTGGCGGGTCCGGGCTGGGGATTCGAACCCCCCACCTTAGGTGTACGTGGCTGGCGCCTTAGCCGGTTGAGCTATAGGCGCCTAGCCAGATAACTTTTTTTTAATGGCCAAGTAGTACTCTATGGTACGCATATACTACATTATTAATCCACTTATGTATTGATGGGCACTTGGATTGTTTCCATGTCTTTGCAATTGTGAACTGAGCTGCTATAAACATTTGAGTTCAGGTGTCCTTCATAGAAAGGACACTTTCTATGTGTCCCAACACTTTTAAAAGTATGGCCTAATTTCAATCAGACCACATCTGAAGATTTGCTATTTGAGTTATTTGTGTATCGATGAAATGACAATTTATAGTTGTAAACAACTGAGTGCTCAGACTAATTTGCAACCTAACTGACTCAAGTAATGAGTCAGCTTCCAAAGTCTTATCTGGAAGAAGACACCAGCTGCTTTTAACTGAGAAGCTCTATTTTAACATCTCACTTCTGATTTGTTAGGAGTACTTTAGCAAGGAAATCCAACTATGCAAATATCCTTGAGCAATTAACACTTCTCCAGCTGTCTGGTAGTTGTCTTATTCAATTAAGTATAAGCATCAAAGGACCAATACAGAAAACTAAAGGAAGAAGGGGTTATCTGCTTAACCAACTGGACGAGCTGAATCAACCTGGTAATTAACAAGACAAGGTATATTGTATCTATTTCTTAACGAGGGATTATTTTAAAGAATGCCTATAAAGCTGGGCTAGTCTTCTCTTCACTAATTAGAAAGAAAAGAATGTTGGTATCACTAGATCAGTGACGCTGTATTTGTTTTAGGACTTCCATTCTGCCCAGTCCTAATTTTGTTCTCCTACTTCCAGAATTTGATTCCAAAAAGCAAAAAGTATGGAGTTCAGCAGATGTTCCAGAATCAGAGTAAGTTTATTTCTCTTACTTGAAGCCTGTGGTGAAGCTTCAACCTCCAGGTTAGATGGAAAGCGCTCACTCTGAACCCCAAGGACTCCCATGGGTAGTGACTGGTCCCCAGAAGCAAGGTCAGCCTCCAGTTCTTCACTGACAGGAAAGGTGATGTCACTCACAGGTTCCTCCTTTATCTTCACAGGTTTAGTGTCCTCTGTGGCTTTCTCAGGATTGACAATCCTTTCATATTCTTCAGAAAGCTGCTTACTAATCTGT